CTGGCGCCCTCCCCCAGCCCGTTCTGCGGCCACCGTGAGCCCTGAGCCTTGTTTGTCACACAGGGTGGCAGGCCGTGCTGCCAGGAGGCTGAGGTCCTCTCTATCCACGGCCCACGCACTGCTTCCTGCTGTCCGGGACAGCACACAGGTCACAGCCACCGAGGCCGGCAGAGCCCTGCAGCCTCTCTTCTGGCACCAGCCTCGTAAGGCCCCAGCGCCATCAGCCTGACACGCTGACCGCTGGCAACATGGAGCATGAGCCAGCCACTTGTGCTCTATTGAGCTACTGAGGTTATCACTGCAGAATAACGGACTGGCATGCACAGAGGTCAAAGGGCAGAGCTGGGCCTCAGACGCGTTTTCTATTGCTGTGTAGTCAACTGCCGCGCACTCAGTGGCTTCACGCCACACCCACCGATGAGCTCACATTGCTGGGGGTGGGCGTCTGGCCTCAGCTTGGATGGGGGTTGGACTCAGACTGACATCAGCGCTCAGGGTCCTTTTCCAAGTGCTCACGCTGCTGACAGAGCTCTGTGCTGTCATCTACCTGGAGGTCGCCACTTCCTGCCCCAGGGCCTCCCCACGCGGGCAGCTGTCGCCTCCAGCTCAACAGGACACCAGATGCTGCTTCACATCTCGGGTCTCTCGACTCTGACCTCTAGGCCTTCGTCTACGGAGCCCACTGGCTGCTCACACACACCCAGATGGTCTTCCTTTTATTAATGTCAAGTCAACCGCCTGGGGACCTAAATTACACCTGCAGAATTCCTTCCCCCTGCCCCAGCAGGTGACCTGGTCAAGCACGTGACAGCCCATCCTAGTCATACACCTACCCTCGCTCAAGCGGAGGGGCTTAGACAAGCCATGGGATCAGCTTCAAATTCTGCCTCTTCCAGACATTGAGGGAAATGCTCGGGGGAATAGAAGCGCTAGGAAGTGCAGGGTCATCCACAGCTTTGCATTGACCTCTTCTTTGCTCCTAAACAAGAACACCTCGCCTGCAGCCTTGCAGCACGGACATCACCGGGAGAAGTGCCAAGTCTCAGGCTCCACCGACCTGGCGAGTCAGAGCCATCTGCACGTCCACAAGACCTGGGGTCGAGGAGCACTGCCGCTAGGATTGGCTTATTTATTTATTTTTGTCAATCCTCATGCAAGGATACTTTTCCATTGATTTTTAGGGAGGAGGAGCAACAGAGAGAGGGAAACATTGATGTGAGAGAGGCACATCGACTGGTTGCCTCCCGCACGTGCCCTGACCACAGCCGGGGATGTGCCTGCAACCAAGGTACGTACCCTTGATTGGAATCAAACCTGGGGCCCTTCAGTCCGCAGGCCGACGCTCTATGCTCTATCACTGAGCCAAACCGCTAGGGCAGGATTGGCTTATTCTTAAATAAAGTGGGCACATGGAGTGAGCTCCGAGCGGCTTCTGAAAGAGCCTCGGGTCTGACGGTGATGACGACCATGATGCTGATGCTGTGAGGGTGTTGAAGATGGGGATGACAGCTAACACTGACCTTCCACCAGAGAGCAGGCGAAGTTTGAAAATGTATTATTTCTTTTCATTTTCCCAGCATTTTATGAACTACATGCTATTATTTTTGTTTTAAGAGATGAAGACATTGAGGCTCACAAATGTTAAAGAACTCCAAGCACAGTGGGACCATGTCATTGGCTCTGGGGGCGGAGTCTGAGACCTAGGAAACACAAAGAGCAGTGGTGGGCCCGGGGTTCGGGCCTCATCCTTCAGCTGAGGGTTGTAAGACCAGGTGTTAAGCTAACAAACTGGGATTCGGGCCAATCCCACCTGTAAATACGGATCATTCAGCCGCAGCATCGGTGCTCCTTTCCACAGATCATCCCGTCCGAGGGGCGGGCGCATCGGCTGGCCACAGGCCCGGCCACGCAGGCCTCCCGGTGGACTCGCGTCTGCAGTCCCCAGTGAAGTCCACGTATTCTTAAATTTCCTCTTGGCATGGCAGACACGTTTGGGTGGTGTGACTGCCTTCCAGAGATTCTTAAAGGTAACAAAGAACCCTGCTCTCTAACCCACCCTTTTCTTCTGATGAGTGAAACTAGCGTCCAGAAACATAAAGTTATGTTCCTAAGTCAAATAGTAAGGTAATAGCCACGTCTTAAACTGGCTCTTTGCCCCAAAGTCAAGTGCCACAACCATTTGCCTCCTGCGTTTAGGAAAGTATTCATGCTCATTGTGAAACAGAGGCTCTTCACTAGAGCATGCGTCAGAAACGCTTGCAGGGAGCTGAGTACAGCTTCTCAGACTTCTCTCTCGATTGTGCTACTGGTGAGTCTAATGCCCATTTATTCCATGAGAACCATCACACAAACGACAGGACAGAGCACGGGTTTGAAAGGAGAATAAGTCTCAGGGAGGAGGGTGAGAGGTGGAGCAGGCAGTGGCTCAGCTTCGATGCACTGATGCCTGGACTCCGACCCCAAGCCCCCGATGTCCAGGGCCCTGCACAGGTTTATGAAAGCTCCCAGGCAGTTCTAGTGCTCACAGGGCAGAGCCACTGGCGCAGGGTCTCTGAGGTGCGAGAGAACCCACATCTACCCGTCACTATTTTCCTCACGGCCCCGCTGGGACCGGCCCATCAGCTGGCCACAGACTCCCATCCTTCCCACCCCTTTGCCGTCCTCCTCCTTTAAGCAGCACTCTGTGGGCAGAGAACAGAACCGGTGATGCTGAGGTCAAGTTTCAGACGCGGATGGGCTCAGCTGTGCCTGCTGAGCCTGCTTCTCCACCTGTTACACAGAATAACCCTGCTTCACAGCCCCCTCTCCGGCACTCACGTCACGCCGCGGACGCGCTCTGTGAGTTCTGTTTCCAAAATGGCCTCCAAGGCTTTGGTGCTTGGATAACTCGTAGGTTTGCCACTGGACGTGAGACCTCATCTTACTCCCAAGACATGGTTCTCGACGTGGCTCCCAGACCAGCATCTGCATCGCCTTGGAAGTTAGAGATGCAAGTCCCGGCCGCACATGTGCGCGTGCGTGTGTGCATACACACAGGCATGCACACATGCACACGCATACACGTGTACACACGCATGCACACACAGTCAGTACGTCTGACAGGGCCCAGACTGTGCTGTAGCAAGCCCTTCAGGTGATGCTACGGGTCAGGTTTCAGAATCACTGGCCTAAGTGTCCCCAAATGTCCCATCAAGAGAGCAGGTCATGATCAAGGGTCCCTATAGAGAGAGCGGGCAGTGACCACATAGAAAGACAACCCACATCTATACGCCTTGCACCACTCAGTCCTTCATCACCAGAGGCCGACTGCAATCCTGGGGGGGGGGGGGTCCGGAGGGGGGACGGGCCTGTGAATCCTCTGTTCCCCTCATTGTTTGTGGTCCACCAGTTGGCCTTTGGAGGTCGGTGGGAGTGGGGCTGCTGAGGGGAAGGCCTGCTTCAGGGCCTGGAAGACGCTCCCAGGCCAACCAGGAGCAAGCGGACAGAGACCTCCTTCTCGCCTTGTAGGACAATCACATGGGCTAAAAGACACCTGAAGTGGACAAGACCTCGCGCGGTGAAGTTCAAGGCAAGGGCTCCCTTTTATTCCTCACCGACCTGGTGGCAAGGAACCCTCTGTTCTCTTGGGAAGGCAGAGCCCAGAGAAGCAGGCCAGGGAGAGGGCAAGCGTAGTGGGCAGGAT